ATAAGTGTGCGTGGGTGGCAGGATCCTATGACACCATGTTAAAAAGTAGTTAAGTAACTTGTTGTTAACACACGATATATAACTACTTTATTTTCTGCCAGTTTCTTTAAATATGTGTGATTTCACAATTGCCCCCAGTGGCACAGCGGTATGTCTGCGGACTTACAACGCTAAAATCCGGGTTTCGATACCCGTGGTGGGCAGAGCACAGATAGCCCTTGTGTAGCTTTGTGCGTAATTAAAAAGAAAAGAAAAAGAAAAAAAAAAGACTTCACAATCAACCCTACAGATTTTCGAATTGACAAATATTAAAACATAAATTTATTTTATTTCTGCTAATCTGTAAGTTTCTGTAAATAATGTGATATCTAACGATAAATATATCAAAAGAGTCAAACGAAAATTCTTTGAGTTTGAACAAACACGTAGTTCATTTTTGTTGTATGTTTTCAGTGAAAATAGTATAGAATTTTAGCTCGACGAACAAATTGGTGTTTAATACATCAGAAGGAAGTCCCTTGAATTAAATAATACTTAAAAAGGATATAATTACACCTTGGACAAATTGACAAATGTCACACCTTTAAAAAGATCAAGTCAAAGAAATATCGAGATTAAGGAAAAACTCGAGGTTGTCAGACTGATAACGATATGTTTGCACTTCAGCACTGATACACTTCATTTGTGGCTGATTCGAACTAAAATTGAAAAGAGCATTTTTAACGATTTTGTTTATTTAATAGTATAAAATTTAAAACTTTCACAGTATCTAAGCTCTTCTCCTTGTACATTCTTCATGAGTTTATTTTTTTTTACCATTTACACCAACAGAATTTTCTTTTTTAGCAACACGCACCTTGCATAACTGTATTTACTCCATATGTAATAATTGAAAAATTATTATTTTTAGATAACTTGCGGCGCAGGTTGGCCCTATGGTACAGTTTTAGATTTCTGAGCTGGCGAGCCGGATTTGAATACGTGCAGTACCACAAAATATTCCACTCGCTTAATGCTATGGGTGCGTTATAGGGCTGACAGTTAATCTCTTAGTGTGGATAGTGGGTGTCAAGAGTGCTGATGACTGATTGCCTCCCCTCTGGGATGGCGGTAGATAGCCATAGTTGCTTGGTCATAAATATAAATGTAGATTTAGATAATTTGACTTTAAAATTTCAAGCTGGTTTCCTTGAATATAGAGAGAATTGTAATTTTTTTGTTTTTAATTATAAATAGGCAAAATATTTGTAGAAAAAGAAATTGACGTATCAATCTCAAACACATGTTGAAGTTTTGACTTAACTTCTGCAAAATACAATATGCTAAGCGAGGATTAATTTGTCCTTTTTTGCACTTACTCTTTAATCTTCAGCAACAAGCTTAAATAAGCTGTGATGTTTTTATTTTGACTTGCAAAAATAGTACTGAAAAAAAATAGCTCTAACAAAGGCCACACACATTTTACAAAGCTTTGCCATACTCAAACAACTCCATATGAGCTGTAGATAATTTTTCGGGTTGTTTGTTTTTCAGATAATACATTTGGCATCGACTGAACATTCCCACATTTGTGTAATTTGATGTTATGCTAGTAGGCATTACTTGAATGACAAAAGACATAATCTTGCGGGTTTTACCAAAGACTTATGTTGCAACATGCAACTCCTATACGTAAAATTTATGCCTGACATTGCATGCATAAGTGTATAATATTCCTGAAGAGATTTTTATATAGGCTATTTTCTGTGCCAATATTTTTAGCAACATACCTCATTTATAAAACAATAGAAATGACCCTACTCTGTCTAAATTTTAGCACAAGTGTTTAACTACCTACAATATTGGGATAATTACAAACTACGAACTTCTTGTGCATTACACCTAGTTCGTCAAAACTTAAGTTTTACCTTCATGATTAGAAGATTGTTATATACGGCTACTTCCTTTAACGCTTAGTCTATGAGTCAATGAGATCGAATTTGGGGGCTTGGGTTGGCTACAGGAAGGTGTCAAAGTTTCCGGTATTCAAGTTAGAGCAAAAATGTATTTCAATAAAGGGCTCGATCTGTTAACTTAAAAAAAAACTACACTTCACTACCAAAGGAACTAATCTCTCAATAGTGTTCGGCTACGAAGATGCACGGAGAGTTAGACAGATTACGTTCCTCTTGCACAAAATAGTAGAAGGGTTCGTGTTCAGGTAGGTACTTACAGCGGTAAGTTAGCTTCTTTGAGCATTCCTCAGTCATCTACATCGATAGAACTCGCAAAAACTGCGGAGAAAAATGTTTTATAGAGTTGAGAACCTAGAATCTGTATTACTCAACATGTGCAGCCACTACCGTGTCTTTGGATTGGGGTATGTGTTTACTCACTAATGCGGTTGGCCTCGCATGGCCAGGCGGTTAGGACACTCGATTCGCAATCTGAGGGTCGCAGAATGGTTGTTTAGTGCATTTAGAAAACTGCTTAAATCTTCTTGTTTTTCCCAATGAAGATTTCAACTAAAACTGCAAGGGATTAAGAAATACTCAAAAACAATATAACTCTTTATAATTTCTCATAAGGCACATTTTTAAAAGAAAAAGCCGAGGCAATAACAGCCCTTAGAAACTTCTAGCAAACTCCAAAATCAAATATAAATCACGAGAATAAGGCGATAAAGCTACTAAGTATTTGCCTAACGTTATGACCACATATCACCTCATTATATAGCAATAAAGATGTTTGATACATTTCAAACATTCCAACAATTCTTTGATATCACTTAACAAGAATTCCTCTATTCTTGTTTTTACTGCAAATCAGATTTCAAATGCATTTACTATATAAAGTGTTGTTCTTTCCTCAGTGCAAAGTTACACAACTGACCATCTGCGTTCTGTCCATCGCGAGGAATCGAACCTGGATTTTAGCGTTGTAAGTTCGTAAACTTACCGCTGACCCAACGGGAAACACTATAAACGCTGTTCTATAAATAACTAACTTCAATTTAGACAACATAATTTCATTAACTGTAAACTGTTTGAATAATTTTATATAAATGATTTACTGATGCTTTTAAAAAAACGTTCCCATCATATTTGATTCTTGCTGGGTTTTTTACAAAAAACCAGATCCTCAAGTGTTCATTCCTTGTCATGTAATATTTTTGTGTATGTATATCTCTCAAAAGCTCACCATTTTATAATATGAGCATCAGAAAATGAATCTCTTATTAAGCTAAGTTTTATCATGCGCTCCTTTATATGTACCTTTTCCTTACAAGCTTGATCTAGTTTATTTGTTGTTTGATCAGACAATAAACTTTTATGTTTCGAACCTTGCCCCCCTCCCCCACACGGTGGCAAAGTGGTAAGTTCGAGGGCTTATAACGCTATAATCGGGTTTCGATATTCGCAGTTAGTCTATAGTGTAGCTTTGCGTTTAACAGCAAGCAAAATTTTAACTTTAACCATACATTTTTTTTTAACAACAAAAATTACCTGCATTGATTTACATAGACTCCGTCCAGCATCATGTTGTTTGGTTTTGTGGTGTTTGTAAAATCAGCTGTATCGAAGTAAGACATAGTATTGTTGATATAACCCTCAAGACTGCCGTCTTTACTGTAGCGGTACATATACACAAGGCGAGGTATGAAATCACTTGTATAGGCTATCATGAAGGACTGCAAAAATAAGTTAATATAAGGTTATTATTAAATGCAGAAAAGACAAAATTCTAACAAAACGTCTTAAAAAGTGGTCTTATGTTGGTATAAAACAACACTAAAGCTAAAGTTTAAACAACTAGAATGCATTATTCTCTCGGAAAAATATATTTCGTCAGTCTGATCTTATAGTGAATTTTGAACATATTTTACAAAAAAAAAAAAAATGGTTAGCAAATTAGAAATTTGAAACTTCATTCCCGGGAGTGTTCACGTTACTCCAACATGGTTTAAAATAGGGAACGTAGAGCTTAAACTCTACTGAAATGTATCTACTTTGTTCACGAACACAGTTATGATATATTTGTCCCAAATTATTTTTCGAGTTATATTTGAAGAAGGCAATACGTAACTTTATATTCCATATGAATATCTCTGAAATTCTGCAATGGTTATATCTTATTTGAAACTTATAGATACTTTAGTTAGCTTTTACCAAGAAAGTTTTCAAGATAACACACGAAGTATTTTGAATAGCAAACCATCAACAAAATGCTTTACTCCTGTCTTTATACAACACATTAAAGTCTAAAAATGAGATAAACTTGGAAATAATTATCAATAAAACAGGAATCGAGTTTAAGTCCGAAAGAAAAACATTAAAAAATACTTTAACAATTAACCATGACCACTTTAGTTTCGAGCAATGTGAACTTTCGTCAGCCCAGCTTAGCTTGGTGAATGGTATTAAGGACCATCACTTGATGAAGTCCTAGGGTTTGGAAAATGCAGTTGTAAGCAATGCCAGATACATGAACCCGGAATAGGTTTTGTTACTTAGTATTCAACTAAATGTTTTCAATTCACACAAATGATTGAAACCTAATATGCTTGGTTTTCTTCATTTGGAGCTGTCTCGTTTGTATTTAATCTAAAGACAGGGACTAATGTAGTGGTCCGAGCTGTATTCTATTAAAGTTCCCACTTGAAAACCAAATATCTAATTTAAAATATGAAGTCTGGAATAGTTCTTGAAATATGCAAAGGCCGGTCAAAGAAGCAACAGTCGAATAGAAAGTGCTTAATAACTGTTTATTGTTTATTTGTAATTAAGCACAAAGCTACACAATGGGCTATCTGTGCTCTGCCCACCACGGGTATCGAAACCCGGATTCTAGCGTTGTAAGTCCGCAGACATACCGCTGTGCCACTGGGGGGCATGCTTAATAACTGAAAAATGTTTTGGACTTACCTTAATTAAATTCAGTACTTTTTAACAATTGCCTTTAAGTGAAAAAAATTGCCTCGGTCTGTTACATTTAGGTTTATGTGGTATAATTTCACCATACAATGATTATGGATTCACATGCAATTTGAAATAGTTTATTTGTGCAATATCTTGCAATAATGCTACACAAAATTGTAATTTTTAAACTAGAAAATACGTAATTTGTATAACTCGAATATTTCATGAAGTTAAAAGTACACAATGTCAAAGCTTATCCTAACTTTGAAATGGTAATACTGACAGAAACATAATCTAAAATATTAATGCATTTTAATATAAAAAAATAAAGATTATAAACACTGATCTCATTCTGACCACCAGACAGTGTCATAAACTGATAACATTGTTTCATAGTACAATACAATACATAGCAGTGTCACAGATTGACAATATGAGTTTCATAGCATACAAAGAAAACTCAGAGTTAAATTAAGTTGAAATGTTAGATAATATGAAAAAATTTTTCATTGAAATATTATAAATGTTCGTCTTTTAATTAATTGCACTCCAAAAGCTGAAGAACATTTGAAACTTAAAGATATGTAAGTCTCCTTAATATTTCCCTATTTTAGACCTAGCTTGGTTGATGAGATCTAACGTATAGCTCGAAATCGAAATTCTCACAGTTCATTGTACTATGTGGTTAATTAAGAAACCAGAGCAGGTATGTTTCTGGTTACAATATACAACACGATCACCTTCTTGTCACTGGAAATTGGTTGAGTTCACTTACATAAAAGGCGGTACATATTTATAAACTAAAGTTTAATAGAGTAATAAAAGTGTAGGCATAGATCCTGAATGTACCTTTCACAAGTCTTTACATCCTTAAAGGTTTATCACTGATGATGAAAGACCGGAGTTGCCGAAACATATTGGTCTAACAAATGTTAAAACTTTTAATTCATGCAGTATAACGTTATCTACTTTCCTTATTTTGTATTAACAACTAGTTCTGTATTATTTTTATAATGCAGAATGAGCGTAGCACAAACACATACTTACATTTGTGATAACGGCAACGAACGATAAACCCTTCAGTATTGCTTGCCACGCCCCTGAAAATGAAATGAAATTCACAAATATTGTCTTGTACTTCTGCAACTATTACAGAGTTTCAAAGCAAATCAACGGAAAATGTTGTTTAATATACTTCTTTTTAACTGAAAATCCATTTATTAAAACACAAATAATAGAGAATTTTAGAAAATGACGAAATCAACATATTTAAAGGTAGTCGCAGAGTATACTACTACCTTTACATGACATCGTTGTTTACAGATATTTAACACAATTACATAGTTCATTAAATAGCATCGTTGTTTACAGATATTTAACACAATTAAATAGTTTATTACGTAGCATCGTTGTTTACAGATATTTAACACAATTAAATAGTTCATTAAATAGCATCGTTGTTTACAGATATTTAACGCAATTACATAGTTTAGTAAATAGCATCGTTGTTTACATATATTTAACACAATTACATAGTTTAGTAAATAGCATCGTTGTTTACATATATTTAACACAATTACATTGTTTAGTAAATAGCATCGTTGTTTACAGATATTTAACACAATTAAATAGTTTATTACGTAGCATCGTTGTTTACAGATATTTAACACAATTACATTGTTTAGTAAATAGCATCGTTGTTTACAGATATTTAACACAATTAAATAGTTTATTACGTAGCATCGTTGTTTACAGATATTTAACACAATTAAATAGTTCATTGAATAGCATCGTTGTTTACAGATATTTAACACAATTAAACAGTTCATTAAATAGCATCGTTGTTTACATATATTTAACACAATTAAATAGTTTAGTGAATAGCATCGTTGTTTACAGATATTTAACACAATTAAATAGTTCATTAAATAGCATCGTTGCTTACAGATATTGAACACAATTAAATAGTTTATTACACAATTTATAAATGGAAGTCATCATAAGAAGCATTTACAGAAGGCAAAACATACTTTGAACGCATTAACAAAACATAAATCGATTAGAAATTTGTTTAAAACTTACAGTATTAACATTCTCGATAACAAAATATTTTGAAGTGCCTTTTCTAGTGGGATTAGATTTTCTTTATAGCCAATAACCTATAACGTATCTATGGTTCACTAGGAACATTTATACAACCAACGAAAATTAATTAGTAAGGAAATATACGTTGTCAATTTTTATTTGGTATTCACACTTTAATGTTTCCAGTGGCTCAGAAGTAAATTTCATGCTTATAACACTTAAAATTCCAGGTTCAATCCCAACGGTGGACATGGTGCAGATAGCCTATTGCGCAGCCTTGTGTGCCTAAACAACCAACCAAACAAACATACATTGTGTAAGTAGTCCAGCTTTTCACGCTGAATTAAGTTTTAACTTTTTTTTTACTTTACTCTAGTTTATATGGTGCAACATGTGCATCTATTACTATGTAAAAACATAGGAATTTATTTTAATTTATAAATTTCCATTAGAAATCAACATTTAGAATTTTGCGCATAATACTTACACAGTAAAAACACAAAATTATATAATTTTCGCTTAAACTTCAGTTTTCGTGCTTTTAACGAACCTAAATTTCGGAAAAGCTCTTTCAAGCTCCATGATTCACCAAATTGATTCTCAATCAATATGGTGAATAAGCCAACTAAATATTCCTGTCACATCGTGTATCTCAGTTAAGATTCTGTTAGTTTCAGAGTTTGAGAAGTTTCGTTTTCCACTCGCAGTTGTGATTAATGAAAATATATCGGTGGAACGTATACATTAACTTTCATTAACCACCTCCCAAAAAACGTACATTACATATAATAGTTAAACAAACCGCCTAAAAGTCACGTTAGTGTAGCCTATATAATGTGTAAAGTTTAGTATACTCTATTCCCTTATAGTGATGACACACGACGAGACACACAATCGGCATTAATGCTGTTTGAATTCGAGAAGGGAAACGACGCCTCTGTAGCCACTAAGAATATCAAAGAAGTTTATGGAAATGTTTAGAACGTTCGTAACTGTCAACGATGGTTCAGCAAATGTCATTCAGGTGACTTTAGCCTTAAAAACTGTGTTGGCAGGAACCGACATATTGGAATTGATATTGACGCTCTGAAGACGCTTGTTGAGTCTAACCCAAGGCAACACACTCATGAAATGGCCCTGAAATTACATGTGTCTCATAAAACAATACGTAAATATCTAAAGAATATGGTAAAACTCTATAAAGAAGGTGTTTGGGTGACTCACGAACTCTCCGATGATCATTGTTTCCAACGTGTGAACGTTGCTTCGTCTCTTCTGGCGCGTGAACCATTTTTGGACAGAATTGACACCGGTGATGAAAAATGGATTCTCTATGCGAATATTAAGCACCAAAAACAATGGCCCAGTCCTAGACAAAAACCACTTCCGACCCCAAAACCCGGACTCCATCCGCAGAAAGTGATGCTTTGCATTTGGTGGGACATCAAAAGAGTAATTCATTTCGAACTTCTCAATCCACAGCGAACTGTCAATGCAGAGATCCATAGTCAGCAACTGGAACGTTTAAATCAAGCCCTTCATCAGAAACAGCCTTCACTTGTCAATCGGAAAGGTGTTCTTCTTCTCCACGACAATGCACGTTCACATTTGACGCAACACATGATTATGGAGTTTAGTTGGGAAGTTCTCCCCAATCCACCATAGTCTCCAGATATGGCAACATCAGATTTCCATCTTTTTCGTTTGTTGCAACACCATCTTAATGGGAAAACGTATGCAAATGTGGAAGGTGTTAAAGAGGACATCGACATGTTTTTTTTGCTTCAAAGCCAAGTGATTTTTTTAATTAGGGCATTAAAAACCTGATTGTAAGATGGAAAAGCATCATCGATAAGAATAGAGACTATTGCATTTAATAAATGTTTTGTTTTCATATATAAGTTGTTCGGTTTTTTTCATCTAAAAAAAGCGACATTAATTTCTTGACGACCTAATATAAAAGGAGAAATAATTTAATCAAAAACCCAGTGCAACAGTTCACAATTATTTTTATACTATTTATGCGTTTTAATATAAAGGGAGAGAAGATCTAACTTAAAACCCAGTGCAACAGTTCACAATTATTTTTATACTACTTATGTGTTTTAACATAAAGGGAAAGATGATCTAACTTAAAACCCAGTGCAACAGTTCACAATTATTTTTATACTATTTATGTGTTTTAACATAAAGGGAAAGATGATCTAACTTAAAATCCAGTGCAACAGTTCACAATTATTTTTATACTACTTATGTGTTTTAACATAAAGGGAAAGATGATCTAACTTAAAACCCAGTGCAACAGTTCACAATTATTTTTATACTACTTATGTGTTTTAACATAAAGGGAAAGATGATCTAACTTAAAATCCAGTGCAACAGTTCACAATTATTTTTATACAATTCTTAATCATGTCACTCGGATTCTACAAAAAGACTCTTCAACTAAAACACACCAATGGTATAAAAATAATTTTGAACTGTTGCACTGTATCTCAAATGGATCATCTCTTTCTTCGTATTAAAACACACCTTTCACTCTCTGGATAAAAAATTCTCACCAATTTCTATCTCTTCAGCAAATGCTTCTTGCATCTGTCAGAGTTCTTTCTTCTTCAGACCGCGCGTTTACAAGAGAAGATTTAATTTTGTTTTACAACAGTCGCATTCAATAAATCTATGTGAGGATTATTACAGTGTTGTACTCGCTATTACTTGATATATTAGGCCAAATCGCGAGATAATATTGAAATTTGAAGATTCAGAGTTTCGCTGCGAGATTCTTAGCTTCATAACTTGATTTTACTTAATTGAGTTTGTGTCGAGTCTTCTTCTAGAACTTCTAAAGCACCGTAAACCACTGTAACCTGGTAATTAATAACGTGCACATCTTCTAGTTTACTTTCCAATCCAATGTTTGAGAGTAACTTGACGGTTAGTATAGTTACGTATATATGTTCTAATTATATAGTTGAATCATTCCAAAAAAAAAAAGACAGAGCTTCAAGACATTGCGGCGCCCTTAACGATAAGATTGAGTGAGGGAACACAAGGTGCCACAAAGTCTGTTCTAAAAGTTAATGCCAGAGCTTCTGACTGAACTCCATTGCTCTTGCCTCTCATATTTACTCTGCTGTTGTATCCTTACGCATATATTTTCAAGATTGTGTTCTAGTTCTCGAAGGTTTTGTAACAACATACCAGAACATACACTGAATTTTTGCTTCAATGAATCACATAAATTGTTATCTAATTTAAGCAGAATCTACTTTGATGAATTGAACAATCATTGTAACTGATATCCATAGTACAATCCAACACAATGGTAGTATTTTGCATTTTTTGACCCAGCTCAATATGTTGTGAAGATTTCTACCAATTGGTAGCTGTATGAACTCATTTTTAATCATTTTTCAAGATATATAATGGTCCTTAATCTCCTGCGTTCTCATCCCTTCTTAAATATTCTCTCATTACAACGGTCTAAGTTCGTTGAAGTAAAAGATACTGCTAGTCACTTTATCACAGTTATATCTCTAAAACACTTTATCATAGTTATATCTCTAGGACACTTTATCACAGTTATATCTCTAAAACACTTTATCATAGTTATATCTCTAGGACACTTTATCACAGTTATATCTCTAAAACACTTTATCACAGTTATATCTCTAAAACACTTTATCACAGTTATATCTCTAAAACACTTTATCACAGTTATATCTCTAGGACACTTTGTCAACGATCGCCTTCAAATTTAATTACAAGCTGATTTTTAATCGAATGTCTGTTTCTTTCCTATACTTACTTTTATTTATTTTAATTTTAAATAGCTTCCCATATATTACGTTACGTCTCGTGTTTAATTAATATTTACCTTCAGTTATCAGTAAAGGAATCGTGTTGAAGCAAAGAGCTTCAGAAACTATACATGACATTTCGCTAAACTGAATAGAAACTTGTTAATTTTCAATAAGTAAGATGGCAGTAATAGTAGGTTGAAACAAACTGTCCT